AATTAGTTGGCGTTCTAGTAACATTGATTCTCCTAATGGCAGTGATGAATGTATAATTTTCATTTACTAGATTACCTCCGCGTTGTGCCAATAAATATTTAAGATGGTCGCGTTTAAACAGATAGCTTGGCAACTTTGATGTAACGTGTGTTAATTTTTAACACGGCCACATTTCAATAAATTATCCGAAGGAGCAAGCAAGACGGTTCGATAAAAACAATTTCCGTTCACGATGTATTATCAATGATTTAACTAATAGTGATGCAGCTATCGCAGATTTTGTCATGGCACATTTACATTTCCTAATTTAAATTCTTCAGTTCGGCATTATTTATATTGCATTAGCTTCCGTTCGAAACCCCCATCCCGATACAGACAAACAAACTTCGACCGAGAGTTCATTAATTTCCCAATGAACAGCTGTGAAGGCGGCCCTCGTGTTGCTGCTGCGTGCCCGTCTCTTAGATTTATGTCTGTTGCTCTAGGTTGGAACAATCTAAACTCTGTCGAGAATCATCAGGAGTTTGTAAAGGTTTTCAATTTTTTTAAACTCGACCAGCCGAAGGGGTAATAAATGGTACCTGCAAAAACGGGCAAGATGAGTCCGAGGTCACGTCGTCGGGAACATTTATTCAAGATTTAAACATGAGCAAAAATTAAAAGACAAAAACTGAAATTAAAACAATCTCAAATCCTAGGGAGTCGATACAGAACGAATTTTCTTGGATAATCTCTTCACTGTAATCAATAATCTAAAGGATATAATTTTCATTAATTGAATGAGATTTTCACGGTTCGCGAGGCTTTTATAGAATAAGGTCACCTTAAAAATATATTGCCCTAAAGCTAAATCTTCAACTTAGTCGTTAGTGCTGGAAATAGTTAAAAAGGAGACGAGTCTAATAGTTTTTGTTGACAATTTGCATTCACGCTGTATTTAAGAGAAGTTCTTATAATTAGCAGAATTTTCTCTACAGAAAATGCAGTCTATGGGGAGGAGTTATTATAAAATATTGTTATATACTCGACCAATTTGTTTTCATTAGAAGGCTATAACATTAAGCAAGAGACATTCTTGCATATTTACTGCTTAAATAAAAGGCAATTATGTGGAAAAAGCTTTGATGTGCTTTTTCACTTTTATTAATTGATACTTTCTTCAGTATAAAAATCGGATTTCTTGTAAAAAAATTAAAGGATCTTATATGTTTAAATTCAGTAACATTTTATAAATTGTGTAAAAATTTACAAGATGAAACAATTTATCGACTGTGTTGGCACATTTTTGCGACACCGATCGCGAATGCTTACCTGCGTTTAGTGTAGGTGGTATTCTTTTTATTTAACTCACCCTGTATTTTTCTACACCATAAATAACGCAAAACAACAGGTTCACGATGCCATTTTAAGTGAATTGCTTTGTCACGTTCCAATACAATTTACTGCTGATGGTATTTTACAACAATTTGTGACTACAATAACACTAAATCAGTGTTTGTTGTTACAAATACAGGTACGGTAAACATTCTCTGATTCGCATTAGTCGAATTAACTAATTTATTTGGAAGAATTTAGTTTTAAAGTGAGCTCATTCTCTGAGATTAGAATTCCTTGTTGGCCGCTTTGCTGATAACTTTCGATCACAAAAGCGACGGACTTGGGGCGGATGGAATATATGTGTGGAGCAACATTGTGCTGAAATCGACATAAAATAAAGCGGGACCCTGTAATACGTCTTATGATAAGAATAAGAAACACAATCTCGACAAACGCAAACCCGAGATAGAACTGATATACTCTACTAACTCAACTCATGCAGAACGAAGCGGTCGCCAAACAATGACGATTTGATTGGACAGCTAAAGAACTGATAACACAAACTGTTCTCTTGTATTATCATAACTTATCGATTAACGTACCGATAAACATTAGCATTTTGGGTGAACACTTATTTGCATTATAGCTTCTGTAGGTTGTGTTCGCTGTCTTAATTACAAGTTTGCTCCAACTCGTACGACTAACTTGATTTATTATTTAAAATTCGACAAACTAGCAAATGTAAATAAATGTCCTGTTAGATTAGCGGCTAACAAGAAAGATTACCAAACTAAAAATATTTATCAGGTTTCAGGTTTTCAATCTGTGCTACTCTTTTCTGGAAAGCGTTATTCAAGAAATGAAAGACAAAATGAATTTATTAACGAGACTTTTAAAACTATAATGAAAACTTGAGGCTTAAACACTAGTAGTAAAAGAAATGAATATGTCCTTTTCATTAATTATATCATAAAAATCAAAACTATGCATCATTATTTACTTTCTATACAGGGTGAATATAAAGTATGGAACCAACGGTTGTTTTTTTAATCATTTGCTTCCAGAAAATAATAATTTATATAAATTAAAGTAATGTAAAAAATGTGATCGTATTTTGAGAACAAAATTTTGTTTTGTTTTTGAGTTATACGATTTTTTTTGTCAAAATTGCAATTTATGTAAAATTAAAAAAAATTAAATATAAAATATATTTTAGTAATCCCTGAATTATAACCTTGATGAGACATATGGTTTTATAGTGGGTTGCCATTTAAAAAAAAAATAAAAATTTTGTAGAACTCAAACAAAAGAAAATTTCGAAAAATTTTGTTCTTGATAAAACATCAAATTTTTACATTATTATTCATCAATTAGTTTTTCCAAAAAATTAATAGTTTAAGGAAAAAACATTTGATTCCATACTTTTTATTCACCTTTTTAGTCAAAATAATTCTGCACAAATCTTTTATGTTACTATTGTGTAACATATCAAGTTTAAGCTAGGTTCAATAAAATCCAATAATAATATATAAAGCTTTATTGATAAATAACAAAAGTCTCTAAATAACGAGGAGGTAAAATGTTAATGAAAATGGGGGATATTGGGATTGACTTCTGATACACACGAAATGGTTGATAAAAAACTGCAGCGGATGTAAGCGAGTGAATGTCGCTCACGTACATTTCGGTAATTGTTCGTCTTGAAACAGGAATTAAAATTCGAGAGTTTGATGAAAACTTGTAAAACGGTATTGGAAGTTCTATTCTGAATTTATGGTTGCGATAGTACCGTTCGGAATTGCCAGAATGTTTCTGGTGAATTATCGCCCCATTTTTATGTTGGTATATAAGAATAATGGGTGCGGGAGCGAAGTAACCAGCGGAGGTGGCATTATGAACCCGTAATTGGCTGTATAATGGAGCAGACGTCGACGACAAAGCTCGCTAGACATTTTTGTCACATGAAATTAGTCGAGGACTTCAAAACCGATTGATGAATGAAGGTTCGCCGTCTCCATTTTTAATATCCCTTAGTTTTATCCATAACAAAGAGAACTAATAAGGAAATTGAAATCAGAAGATCTGGAAAACTGAAATGAATTTTTATCGGTATTGTATTTGACAATACAATAGGAATGCTAATGCATTTTCATTGTCCGTCGAATGGCTCATCTTCTTTTTATTGCTTCTGTGAATAGTGTAAAATTATATGGGAAGACGTACCCAAATAAATCCCTCTCCGCGGAGCGTGCAAGAAATGAACAGTTTATTTTCATAGGTAACTATGTTGATTTAACTTCATATAAAGTTGCCGCTAGACGGAACTTTAGTTTGGCTAAGAGAAAAGCACCCGGCAGATACATTTTGTCATAATTAAACGCTCGGAGAACTTCCACCTAGCAGCTGAATTTTGCATACTGTCTAAGAAAAAGCACAGCTTTATTTTGTGTCCAAAATGCGTTAAATGTGCTTCAAGCACACGTTAAAAGCAACGACTTGACACTCTGCTGTATACAACTTCTCCAAACAGTTAACTATTTTATCAGCTGAAACTCCAATTTGCTACACGAACTATCATAACATTTCAGATCATTTGCTCCCCATCCACATTAACATCAACTTCATTTGATCAATTCCATATTTACCAACTTGCATATGCACCGGATGCAATTCACTTCGACTTGGAAACTTCCAGCATCTGACAAAAGAAGCAAAAACTAGGAATCAATACTCAAAACACGTCGGCTGTTATTTTTTAATATTTGGCTCGTGAATGACAAAACAATAGTTCCAGCAATTCGAACAATTTCATAATACGCAAATATCGTGCATACAATTAGCAAACTTGTGCATATTTCACCGGACTGCATTGCATAGCCAACAAAATAATGTAATGCAGACTAAGCTGGCTAGTTTCATGCCATTTTTGTTCCAAAATTAATTATGGCGGTTCGTAATGCGATTCGTTGCCGGTTATTTGAGTTTTTACTCTAATAGGATGGCCGAAAATTGAGAACTAAAGCACTTTGTTTTACTGACAATTTTCAATGGTCATCTTAATTTGCGTTACCAACGACACACAATCGCTCGAAAATGGGAAAATGGATCAGATTTTATTCACTCACTAAATATTCAACAGTATGTGGCGCAGCAATCATGATTTATGCGCGTCACATAAATACAATGACACTAATGGCTTAATATAATTACGTAGCCCTTAATGGATTGCACTTTACGGCTTATTGTCATATGTTGTCGAACGCCACTCAATTCGTTTAACCGTTTTTTGACGAATCAGGTTTATTTAAGGCTTTTACGGCAACTCACGACAGCGTTAAACCTAAATAAAGCTCTAGTTCGCTTTTAACACTAAATTTTATACCGGCCTTGAACAATTCTAAAAAACACCTTAACGAAATTATAATATTTCTTATTTTGTTTGTGTCGTCGTGTCTTCGAGAACTTGGTTTTCTGACAATTGCATTTATTCCCTATCACTGACCCTGCCAACAATATTGACGGCAATTCACGAAGCTTGTCACAAAAATTATTAAATCGTATCACTTGATAAGGGTTGAGAAGTGTTCCGAGAATTGTGTCTGATATTATCAAATTACAGCGACCTCAGAAATGTCAATTTTCGAACTTCTATATGGTTTAAAACACTATAATGTTCAATTTTTTTAATTTCTTTTTACAAGGAAAGGTACAATTTGTATGATGAGAGACACACAAGATATTTTTTTCTCCTTGTCAAAGCCATCCATCTGTACTTTCCATAGAGCGTCACCCACCGGGATGTAATTAAGAAAATCGGGATTAATTTTCAGGTCCTTAACTTGATAGACTTCCTGAAACAAATGTTAATATAATTGTAGTATTTTACCTATTTTAATGTTAATCAAGTTTAATCGTATTTAAAAAATGATAATACACTTTTCGCTTTACGCTTTTAAGAAATTGTGAAATATTTAAGACTTCTGGTTATGCTTGAATTTATAAGACGGTGAGATACTTTGCATTCCGAATAAACTTTTCAAGTTGAGAAGTAGCTTTATTCGGTAATTATTTTTCGGTTCAAGGCGCAAAATAATTTCTCGGTTGCTCGTGTTAAAATTTCCAGTTTATCATCGAAGAAACTTCAGCATATTTTGTCACGGCGGAGAAAATAAAACGGTAAAAGAAAATTGCTTATTGGTCAAGCTTTCACGAAATTAAATTATGCGAATTATCAACAATCTCTACAGAAAATTTTTAGTCAAGAATCTGCAAATTTCTGTTAGAAAACGACTTCAATTTATCAAATGATTCTAATCTCAAGAAAGATAATAATATAAAAGGACATAGATAAATCATCTTAAGCTAGGTATGAAGAAGGTTAAACACGCCAAGCGACAAGCCGTCTCACGGGAAATTGCTTCAGACAGACAAAAGTAAACATACTAAATGAAAATTATATTGCCGCGATTGTGAAAAAAATTCCAGTTCAGACTTTAATTTAAATATTTTTTGATAGTCGCAAGGGACTTCTTTTTCTTAGAAAATCTTTGTAAAATTTTAATTCTGTGCATGCCTCACAAATGTCTCCATTTGATTAGATGACCGGAGAAATCTCTGGAATCGAAGAAAAACGCGCCATAAAACATTTATGGCTCATATTATCTGATTAGTCTTCTTAATATCGAAGTTGATGGGTTTTTGGCGCTCCAGGCTGGCGTCTTGATATCAATTAGGACTTACCGGCTTGATAGGACAAACTAATGGAGTAGTGAAACTCTCCATAAACGGCGTCCACAATTCGTTTTTGGCCACCATGTACGTACATATGTCAGTGACTAAATAATCCTTCAAGACCTGCTCGCAACTGTCTGGATTCCCTGAAGCGTCACATTTCCAGAAGTTGAACATGATCTGCAGCCAAAATAAATTGTGCTGATGCTGATTCAGTATGATAATTAATCATTGGGATTTTGGGACGTGCAGAATAATTATGTTTTAATTATAGAGTTCTGATTAACTACCGGGGATCTAAACACAGGCAGTATTGAAATGCCCGCTTTACTTGACACTGGTACATTGACAAAATGTTGATTCGACGATATATGGAAATTAAAGCTAATTACAAGCGGAGGATTGAGGGCTTCAAGAACGCGCTAATTCCATAGAAGGGGATAGTCTGTAATTTTCTAAATGAAAGTAAAAGCTGACAAACTGCAGGATATAAGTATACTCGTTAACATTGATCGAGTCATTCGTTGACTTATGGGAATATATTACTATTATAGACCAGTACATTGTTTTATGGTTATTGCATTGGTAGTTAATAGTTTACACAACATTAATATGTGCACACAAGCTTTGCAACCGCAAAAAAGCTAATTTCTCTCTAAAATTTATTATGCAATTTTGTTTTTTTATGATTTCTGTTTTTCAAATATTATAAAAAGATCTTTGCAAAAATATTTTTAAAATATTAATTAAACATTGTACTTTTATGATATGAAAGACGCTTTTTAAAGTAGTTTGAACTCTTTCTGTCATGTAGAGTACCTGAAAGAGCAGGTGGTGCACAAATTAGAATATATTTTCGAATAAGCGTAGAAGTTTGATCTCGCTATCGACACATCACCTCATGTTTTTGACGGAGTTTAGAACATCTTGAGAAGTTCGTAGCAAATAATACCAACTTAAATCCGTCGATGTCACGAAGCAAAATCCAACTCACGCTTGTAGCATAAATACCATCAATCGACTTGTATAAAATTAGTTACAACCAAAGTGATTTTGATCTAAGCACCTCCAAATGTGCAGGAGAAGGAGATTGGAAATTTTGGAAAGGAGAGAATAATTTATTTTAAAAGATTGAGAGTGCAAAATCTTACCGAAAGATCTTTGCTGACTACACTTTTGTTCCTAACTTTAATAGAGGCAGTAGTTTCCCCCGTCTTTTCGTCGTGCTTGGACACAAAATCGTACCAAACCATAGACAAAGACTGTTGTCCTTTACATTGAGCTAAGCTGTGTATAACCACCTTTTTCTTTTTCTGAAATAAGTCATAGTTACCATAAGAGGAGGATCTGCGGGTCCATTAATAACGTTCATCGTAATACAGGGGCATCAAGGGCATCAGCCGTTTGTTTTATTATATATATGTTAGGGAGCGAAGGCAACAGCGACTTTTGCCGAGTTTTGCGATAGGATAAACGCCGCGAGTGGCAATCCAGTTTAACACCCCCCTAAAATAAGCGCCCGGCTTAAATCGTTAAATTTGAATAGTTTTTTCATCAGGACCGTCTTCCCGAAATTGCTGTTTTACTGTATTGTTATTCAAATGGATAAGATAAATAGAGCTTTTTACTTTTTCATGACAGCACTAATCGTAAATAGAATTGGAAATGCTTAAAGAAAATTGATCTTTTTTGTCATCGGTTTATTTTTGAGAAATTAGCACACAATAAACACCTTTGCGAAATGTTTTGAACCCACATTTTCCACGTCGCTCACCTCTCGGGGAATGCTGATAATATCGACCGGATTTCAAAAGCCAGGCGGTTTACATCGTTTTTGATTTATGATTTTTCACTACATCTAGATCATTCTCCCATCACCCACAATAATTTAAATCTTTTACCAGCACTAACTGTGTACAAATTAGGTAATACATTTTCAAAGAAAAAAATTTTTTTTTAATTTTTCCAAAAATTGTTTAAGAAAATTGTTCACACTGATACTTATGTTTACAATGTAGTAATGGATTCAATTATTACATTGTATGCCTATTAATCGGAAACAAAACACTTTATTTTATCTATTTTTTAACATTGAAGATAGTAGCATTTATACTTTGGTTTATTATAATAGATACTTGTACATGCAGAGTGATGATAAAATCTTGCACTAAATTCATAGCTCCGCTTATTCTACATTCTTTTCGAAATATACTTGAACAAGTCAGTTTTACATTTTAATGGCACTTTTTAGCATATATTTTTTATTATTTTATTATTTAATTATTTAGTGTTTTTTTTAATGTAAAATCGACCTGTTCGAACATTTTTCGAAAAAATGCAGAATAGCTGAGCTATGAATTTTATGCAGGACATTATTATCACTCTCTATTAAAATAAGCAAAGTAAGTAATTTCGCAAAGGTCAACAAGGCAACGAAGGAATGAAAAGAATAAACTCAGAGAAAACAGGCCGGTTTTAATCGGCTTCGAGAGAAACAGGCTAAAATCTTGTAAAGCTTTCTAATTATATTGCGTAATGGCAATGTTATTGGAGCACCCTTACAAAGTCGAGAATCCCAATCAACTTGTCCTGCATTTCAACGAGCAATAAATAAAATTTATTTGAAGATTAGAGCTCATGAATTTGTGATTGGTCTCTGGAGAGTGCGGCGGTTTCGCGGTCAAGTATGCGTAATGGGTTTGGATGGTGAGATAAGAAATTTTCGTTCCACAGTGAAATTACTTGAATTCGGAACATTGTCTGGATTCTCTCATCGGCGATGGTTTTGGTTCAAGCCGGTGGAACACAGCGGCGTCGTTAAAACAATTCCGCACACAAAGCTGAATTTTAATTAAAGAAAAAAAAACTATAACAACAGTATTTAATTTGAGTATACAATGAGATGCGGAGTTTGAAATTAGATTTGGATATATGGAAATCATATGTGCCTTATGAATCAAGTTTCAATCAAGGAAGATCTTTACTTCTTAAGTTCACTTTTGGAGATTTTATAATGACAAGTTGATTTTTTTGTTAAAGTTTTGTTCGATGTGTTAAAGGACGGTTCGTTTTGTCGGGAAGATGGAAAGAAGAGGGCTTGAGTTACTCGCTTCGGGCTGAAAAATGTTTTGAGGGTATGAGCGTGAATCCGCGATCTCTTGCCGAATCGCAGCAGCAGTATTATTAGGTTTGTTTTTACTAATGAACATTTTAACAAATGATCTTTCAGGGAGTTTTCATATCGAGGCGCGTAGCCATCACATTATCAATTTATCAGGGATTTTCAGTATGCGCAAGCGTTAATAACCGGGTGATAGATTGACTTACGTACTATATCAACTGCTGTCTCCGCGAATAACACAGTGCATAAAACTGTAAAAAGCAGCAGCAGCAGCTCTCGAGCCATTCTGCCGTTACCGTCACTCAACAACCGTCATCGAATGACTAATAGTTACACTTTTGGCTCTAATATATTTCGCGTCAAAAACATTTTACTAATGATCATTGCTGGACTGATAGAGATCTGCGCGGGGCAAATGATGCATGACACATGTAAATGCTAGTGCAGACCTACATTAGTGGGCTGCCATTGTTAACGGCCCTCTCAATAACATCGATAGCATCATCAAACAATGCCAAGTGCGGTTACCCGACTACTACGTTTGAATTTGTATTTACTTTATTTCACCGTTGAGCGAGCAAATGCAACGCCACATTAAGCTCAAATGATCGCCGAAAGTCCAACTGCTTATCGCGCTTTTTTAATTTTTGCGAATGCGGCCCAAACTCTACATCAGCTTGGGGGTACAACAAATCGACCATACCAATAAAATTTTCATGCAAAATAGCCCCCAAAAACAATAAAATTCAAATATGGCATTCGCTTATAAAACAACCGTTTTATTTATTTATATCCCATTAGGGTAAGTATTGCCTCTCCAAAAGCCACATAAAAATTTCCCAAATTATTGGATCATTGAACAAATATCATACACTTTTTAACCAATCGATTATCTTTAATTTTTTGTTTTCTGTGAGTATTATTCTTTAAATTTTCTACGAAATGATGTTTAATCATTTTAACTCCATCTACAAGAGTCCACTGAGACGTTCTATATTTTAATTTATGCAACTTTCCGTCACATAAACTTTATAAACGTTCTCTATTCTACTCGAACAACAAAACCTCAAGATTTATAGCGCGATTTATACAGACCAATATTGAAATGTCCTTGTTGCTCCAAAAACTCGGCTTTATATTCCTTCAATTTTTGGAATGAATTTCAGGCTGGCGATATTAAAGTCTTGATAAGTGTTGAAAAATTTATTATTTGTGAGAAACTGATAGGAAACCGCTGCGAAAATAAGTCTGATTACAAAATCGATTCTTGTGAAATTTTTTCAATCGTGTGACTTCACTGTGGCAGCTGACAGGATTGTTTATGAGTTCTGATTTGGGTGTATTTTACGAATCCGAACACTTCAGATATGGGTCATCGGAACAACAAAAGGGTTCTGATAAGTTAGTGAAATGTAAACATTCACACAGACCATTTGCAATATTTGCTAAAATAATTTTAGAACAACTTAATTGCATAGAAGTGAGAAAGTTCTTAATAATGCAATTAATGTAATCAAATTTAGAATCTCAAAAGCTTTTGTTTTATTCTATTTATCTCATTTAATTTTAGATTTTATTAATTTAAACTAAGTCAATTAGTGCAAGCCGTCTTCTGCAATCAGTTAATCGATATCTTTAACCTAAAATGTTGTAGCACAAAATAAAAACAAATTATTGCACTTTAAATATTAAAAAAAATTGCTGAATGTATTAAAGAAAAATTCAATTGGTTTTCAACTTACGGCTAATGACTACAAAACAATCAAATTATCCTGTTCTTGTGTACTCAATGTTTTTTTTTCTCACAACAGAGAAGCATCTAACAAAGAATCAGGATTCCAAAGTAACTTCAAGAGACTTTGTCTGTAGGACAATGCTATTCTCCGGATTTCGTTTGAGCTTTCACAGTCCATTCTCCTCTTGTCTTTTAGAGACAATGCGAAAAATGCATTTAGCCAATTATAGTGTGGTTCGAATAATCGTTGCCGCAATGCAATAATTATATTTACGTGGAACAAAAATTGAGGAAGTTGCGAAACGGATGGATAACTCAGCAACTGGCTTGATTCAGATCCTAATCTTAATGTGTTTAAAAACAGTGTTATTATAATATGGTTAATTCTATTTTCACCAAATAAAGTTTAGGAAAATTATACATAACATAATAACTTCATTTCCTGATAGTTCTAAATAAAGAGTAATTATTCTTCGGCAAAAATTTGTTAAGTCAAACATGACTAAGACCTGAGACTAAGACCTAAGACTGAAAATTGTTAAAGTCTAATTTAGATGTTCAAATTTCCATCTCATACATAACTTACATTTGTGTATACATACATAAGAGGTTTTAAATAATTTTAAACGTTTTTTTGTTTTTACTTTTGTTAAGTTTTGCGTTTTTTTAACTGCTCATGCTCTTACTTTTTGTTTAAGTTTTCTATTTTGTATTCTAAAGTTCTTTAATTTTATATTCTAACAATTTTTTAGATCTTTTTTAAAATTTATGCTTATACCTTGTTACTTTTCAGTCTTATTTAGAAGACTTTACGGTTTTGTTTTTTTAAATTTCCATTTTTCATCTTTACTTCCCAAATACTTAACTAAAAATATTTTTAATGCGCAGGATCTAATCGATTATACACAAATTTTCAGGTAAAAATTGTCGTTAAACCTCATAATACTTCTAATGTGCATAGTAGCCTGTATATTCTAGCACAATTATTACAAAAATTATTTTTTGCTTTTCCACATCATCTTTATATTTAAGTGTTTAATCAAAACAAGATCAATTTAATTGATCAAACGTAATATACAAATATGTATTCAGTTACAGTAAATTAAACTGAGAGAAATATGATATTAAAGCGTTTTACTGGAATTAACAAGAATAATAATGGTATGTATGTACATGATTGAAAAAAAATATTATGACTAGATAATTTACTTCTAAACTTTCTAATTAATCTCATCATAGGTTTATAAATAAATAAGCTACAACAATTTATTTGTCTATTTTCTTCACAAAATTTAGGTCAATAAAATCTTTCAAATTTCTGAGATTTATCCAATCAAATTTAAATTACGCGATAATTCAGCACGTATGCAATTATCGGCAATTTAGCATGCACTCGGGATATTAATTACTATTGATTATTACTTTTTATCAGTAAGGTGAGTTTTGTAGTAGGTATACACGAAACTTAAAAAAGGAGAAACCAATTGCGCATTATTGAGTTGGAAGATAAACGGGAGTTTTGCGTTGTCTTGCGTTGGTCGTTGGTTAAAAGTTTTAAATTTTATGTTGTTTATGTACTTACTTATAAAAGTTTAAGGAGTTTTAACGTTATTAATATGTGAATCGTCGTCTTTTTGAAGATTTCTGAAAGTAAAATTGAAAGTAAAAATGGTTCGTCAACACTTACACTTATTATTATTACTCTCAAAAAATATTATTATTGTTGGGTTTAATTCAAGAACTAACATAAAGCTTCACATATTGTGAGAGATTAAAGTATCTAGAAACGTGAGTATTTTGACCGAAAAGAAACATTTTTTTGTTAGAAATTAGATCTCTTGTGGATTATCTCAAAATGTACTTCAAAACAAGTAAATATTCTGTTTTATCTTGAATAATGGTTTTTGCAAATATGAGATTTTTGTCATATATTTATGGCAAATCGTAGATATTAATCATTCAGTAAAGATAGAGGTGTGGAATTAATCCTGTGCAATGGTCTTTTAATTCTTTCCATTTTTTTAATGATCTCCATTTATCTGGTCTCCCCCAATAACTACTGACAGACGTAATTCCTCGTTGATCTGGTGTGTTTATTGTATTTTTAACCGACGAACGTAGCATTTTTGGCGTTTTTCTCCGAGACCTGATTTCGCAACGATAATATTTTTCTTCATTAAAAAAGGATTAAAATTGTCCTCTGTAAGAAGAAGTGGGTAAGCTGGCCATTTCTCTTGATAGTGTGGCAGCGGCTCATTCGCGGTCGAGTAAGCGGTTGTTACAGTGAACAGAGGACAGTAATATTTCCACGTTGCTTGCAGACGGTAGCAGGTCTCATACGAGCGTTCTTAATAACAGTCGGACGGTAATCCTTGTCTGATTGATGGGCCCTCCATGATGGAGCTGGGAGAGAGAAGGGGGCTCACCCTGCGACCTGGCTACACCCTCTCATCACTTCCAGATTATTACCGTGTGTGCTGCCCTCTTTCTCTCTTTTTCGCCTTTCCACAAATAAAAGACGTGATTTTATGGATGTTTTATTTAGCTAAATCTACACCGTTTAACCGGCGACACTTTATGTCCGCCGCCGACGGCGACGTCGAGATGAAATTTTTATAATATTCGAAAAGCATCTTCGAAGACCAACAGCAGCGACCCACTGAGTAGATTTACTTTAATTCTCACAACATAATAATTTTCATCACGTTTGCAAGTTTCCGCTGCCGCTATAACCATCAGGCTACCCAAACGATTTTCAGTGATAGATAACAGGACTATTTTTAGAAAGATAATCTCATAAAATAAATTAATTTCAGATTTAAACCGCTTCCATATTTAGAAACATAGCAAGCATTTTTGAAAAATTTAGAGCTTTATCTTAGTAACCTGATTACATTTATAGTATATTAAGTAAGTATTAAGAACGGTAAGGACATTTTACCGATCGAAGACAATTGACACCAATTGTCTGAAATTGGTAGCCTTTAATTCGTGATGTTTATAACATTTTTTGCACGATAGAAATATTTTTACCTTGATCTGTATAAATCATTGAAATAAAAACGTCAATTATGTCATTTTATTTTTACCTAAAGTGTCGCCAGGGTGTTTTGTGCATTATAAATTGAATAAACTATTTTTAACAATTGTTGAGCTTTAAACAGCTTTAAACATTTCATGAGTTTTCTCAAGAAAAATGTGTGATTCAAACTCCGACGGTGTAGACAGTGAAATCGAAAAAGCTTGGGACATTGGTTGTTCATCACTAATTCCTGAAAAATCAAGATTTCGATATCTACATTCCTAAAAAATCTTTTTTGCATAGTAATTTTCATCACGATTAATCGTATAGAAACGATTTCTATAGTTATATTTCTATAGTTATTTCTATAGTTTCTATAGAGTTCGTTACAAAGAGCTCCCGATACATTAGGATATAATTTATCAAATTGATATATTTTTTTGGTCTTCAGGGTTCCTGGGGTTATCACTATGTAAAAAAATGTTGTGTACAACTCGTTTTGAAAGTACTTTTTTTACTCATTTGCTTGCTCGCGC